CCCCACCATGTCATCCTTTGTGCCCCCACCATGTCATCCTGTGTGCCCCCACCATGTCATCCTGTGTGCCCCCACCATGTCATCCTGTGTGCCTGTGTGCCCCCACCATGTCATCCTGTGTGTCATCAACTGAGCCGCTCGGCCATGATCGGGAGCTGTACGGGCTATTGTGAATAGCCCGTACAGCACCCCCTCGGTTCTACTAAACCGAAGGGGTCCTGGGGCCGAAGCTATCCGAAGGATCGGCCGAAGCTACGGCCAGATCCCTCGGTAGCTTCGTGAATAGACCCCAAAGAGACACAAAGCACACTGGGAATCCAGGAAGCTGTTGAAAGTGATGGGCAGACAGAAGGCAGCACTCACTACATAAAAGGGATTTTTTCAGGTAGGCTTTGATTGCATTATCAAAAACAGCTCTAGTACATATTTCTATTACAGCGCTGATGTTATAACAGGATAGTATACGTTGTGACTTAAGAACCTCATTAAACCCTGTGACAGTTCCTTCCGTCTCTCCCAGACTCTATTGATGACATCTCTGAGCTCCCTGATCCTGCTGTGGCCAATATGTGGTGTTCTAACCATCCCTGCTGGATCTTTTATAACTAGAATGTAACAGGAGGTGCTAAGGAGCTGAAACATCCAAACCGTCCAGGTGGGCAGGTAGAGAATTGGGAATTACAGCAGGAATATCTCACTGTTGGAGTATCTAAGACATACAAGAAGCCAGGTGCTGACTGAGCCCTCCAGGATCCACCCATAACTATAGTATTGATTCTGGGTGCACTGCTCCTTTAATACAATTAGCTTTTCAGAAGGTTCCCCTTAGATATGTGAGAATGGCAGGATAAACCCGAACATCGGGCTCGGCTGAGTATTTCTGTTAATGGAAATGGAGGCAGACGCAGGAGGAAGAATGCACTGGTAGGTGCTATCACAGGTGGTAAAACAGAAAATGGAGTAGCCGATTGGCTGTTGCACCATACAGGACCTGGCCATTTTTAGACATGGTTGGCATCTCACAATAACTTAAGGAGTGCCGCAGTGGTAGTACTAGAGACCTCACTGGGCTTCAGAGCTGCCGACTAAGAGCCACTGGGCTAAATAGATGACCCAGTGAAAGGTCAGTCAGAATGATTCTACAGGCAGTGTGTTTCCTAATAAATTTAGAGTGAAATTTATTAATTTTTTACCACATTGAAAATTGTATCCTGATAATAGTATTCCTGTAATGGTATGCGGTTACTCAAATCTGGGCTGTAATTATTCTGGCATTAATTTGAGTTCTCAGCGTGAGAATTCTATCTCGCTGAATAGTAAGATAGATTAAAACGGATTAAATGTTGATCAGGATTGATTAAAATGGATGTGTGAAAGCTTTTCCTCTAGATCGCAGCTGTCATTTCAGGAAGACTGTTGTAGTAAAAAGGAACAGTAACCAGGGCCGTTGCCGCCCCGCTGAGGGGAGGGCTTGCGAGAACTGCAATGCTGAGCGGGCAGTGTGCGCTTGCGCACACCGGCCCGTGCGGCATTTGTCTTACGAGCACGCCACAAACCCGCCGAAAATCTTATGATTTTCGGCTGGTTTTCCAACATGCACGTAAGACAAAAGTCGTGCGACCGTACAGTAGAAACGGTTGCACGCCTTCCATACACCTGCCGATTATCGTACGATCGCGGGATTTCCACCTTTACAATGGACGTGCATAGAAGTAATCAACTAATCAACAATCACCAAATTTACTACAGGTACTGGGAGTTGGAGGTGTTTAGGTATCTTAGAGTAAGAAGACATAAATGAGGCTCAGCAGCGTGACAATACTATGCAGGTGACACAGGAAGCTGCAAAACTGTAATAGTGAATAGCTGTGTCACTCGTGAGGCTGGTTGAAAAGGATTAGAAATATTTTAGCAGGTACAACAATTTAGATATGCAGTGAAGGGAATTTATCAAAACTGGAGCAGACAAAATCTGGAGCAACTGTGCATGGCAGCCAATCAGCTTATCTCTTTCATTTTTTAAATCTTAACTGAACAAACTGAAGAGAGAAGCTGATTAGTTTCCAAGCACTTCTGCTCCAGATTTTGATAAATTCCCCCCAGTATGTTTATCTATCTATCTATCTATCTATCTATCTATCTATATAGATAGATATACATATCTATCTATATAGATAGATAGAAAGATATATATATATAGTTATTTAGCCAGAACTGAACTTTAACATGTCTGGCCACATTTTTTATGCTACACACTCCTTAGATAATAAATTCAGCATGACATTAGATGACCTACCAGGGCTCGGGAACCCAGATGATGCATCTTGAACATGTTACTAAAGCAGTAACCACAGGCTGACCACAAGCTGGCCGACTCACCTACAGAGCAGATATCGTTGAAGTGATCCTCTCCCTCCTCTGCGTTGATGAGATCGTTTTTACTCTTCTTAATGGTAGCTCGTTTCAGCACTAGGAGGAAGAGGAGAAGATGTATTATTCATTATATTGCAGCATGTTAGAACGTAGCTGTTTCCTGTACATTGACGCGTCGGACGGCAGATGAGCCGATGGAAGTAACAAGTTAGACTCAGGCAGTGCACATATCTGTGCTGAGCAGAAAATTAAAAGTGACTGGTGGGATTAAAACACCTCATAAAATGGAAAACTGTTTAAATGACCTGTCAATCACACAGGACTGACAGCCATGTCTCCCGCGAGCTAGTGCAGCAGACATACACATGTCCATGACATGTTACAAATCTGAAAGAAAGAATCATACAACAGCAGCTTCTATATGTTAAGGAACAGGTTCTGGTGGGAACGGAGTGGCCTTAAAATATGATATGATGAAATAAAATGTTAATAAATATACCATATTAAAAAAAATTATTACACCATTTACTGAAGCTTTCATTTAAAAAATAGATATTATATATTTAAAATGACACTAAACATTAAAAATGCATTCAAGTAACTTAACTGTTAACAAAAATGTATGTTATTTGTGTATCACTCAAATCATCTCTGAATTGGTGCTGACACTGTCCTTCCTTTTGGAGGGTAACTACTTTTGTTCTCCATGGTCCCTGTGTGTGTGTTGTAAAGTAGACACAGCTCCAAGCTCACTCCTGTGATGGACTACAATCTCATGTTTAGTTTACTAATTTGTAATGAGATTGTAATCCATCATAGGAGCGAGCTTGGAGTGGTGGCTACTTTACAACACACACACAGGGACTATGGAGAACAAAAGTAGCCCCCCTCCAGAAGGAAGGACAGTGCCAGCATGAATTCAGAGACAATTTGAGGATCGACAGCCGAGTGATGCACAAATAAGATACATTTTTGTTAATAGTTAAGGTACTTGAATGTATTTTTAAGATTGAACTCCTGAGTTAGTGTCACTTTAATTAGATGTCATTAGATTAAAAAATAAACAGTCAAAAGATAAGAACTTTTTATGATTTAACATCAATGTCATCTTACCATCTAAAGGGGATTTCTCCTCAGCATTCTTATCTTCTTCTGCGAGCATGACTTCCTCTGCAGAGAAAAATAAAGTATAGAGAAAAAAAGCAGTGCCCATCAAGGATGGAAAGAGATATTAAAGTATCATTGGCATTTACTGACTCTATGCATAAGACTTTTCATTTGTAGAGACAATGTAGCAAGCCTCTACAATTCAGCGCTGACTAGTAGGATCTTCCAGATCTGAATTTCCCCCACAATCAGCTGTTTTCTCAATGCTGCCCAACAGTTTTAGGGATAACAGAACTTGGCACCACTACTTGATTTTTTTAGGGTATCATAGCCAACACTACGGAGCCCACTGGATCCCAATACAGCCCACTAAAACCACACAGGTTCCCGAGGGCATCTAAAGGCAGCACAGTGGTTACCCTGAGCAGAAGAGGGCCAAACCTCCCTCTTTTTTTCAGTCCTCTCTGTCAACTGACTGCATCATTATGTTTGTTTTGTAGCCCTGAGGGAGTTGTGTCTGCCCCCGAAATGCATTGGCCTAATTGATCCACACAATTATTAAACTTTAAAAGTCTCACACCCGTCTGGCGCTCTTCTGTTTTCTGTCCCTGAGTTGCTCCTAGTACCTCCTATTCTCCTATTGGAGATTGCTTGTCTTTGATCTGCCTAACCATAAGCTAATGAGCTACCTACACATCAAGTTGGGTTTATCATAAAGGATATCAAGAGACTCCTCCCTGCGTGAAATATACGCATGATTTGAAGTGGCTACACTAAGCAGTGGCAACTCCAGAGCTACAGGGCAGGGCTGACAATACAGCTGATTGGGAGAGTTTATGGAAGGCAGCATTTATTTACATCCGACATATTCTGCGGTGCTGTACAAAGGATGTAGAACCGTTCAGTATGAACAAGAAGAGCTTACAATCTAATGTCCCCACCAAAGTCACACACTTTTATTATTACTAATAGTATAAGTTTTGTACACATATATAACGCTGACATATTTCGTAGTGCTGTACACAGAACACTGCAACACTCACATCAGTCACACACATTATTGTTAGTATACACTTATATAGCTCTGGCAGTGCATCGCTGATGTACAGTACTTCTACTTACAATGCCCTCTTGGACACCCCCTGTATTTAAGAAAACTAAATATCACGAGAAGACTATATTGTATGCTAATAATGTGGATAACTCCAGACCGCACAGGCTCGGACAGACCTGTAGTCTGCTCCTGGAAGTGTTTGTTCAGAATGTTGTTCACAGTGCTCGCGCAGACTTGGTGGAACTTTGTTTTTGTTTTTTCTTTACTTCATGCAAATTAACCAAATGCAGCGAGTTGGACACTAGACAGATGTCAACGCCATGCCACTGAGAGTTTTCCCCCCTCATATTGTTTCCCGATAATGTGATTTAAATGTCTGAGTTATGATGTGCATTGTCTGAATCTCCTTATATGAAAATTATTAAAAACTGATTCAACACTAAGAAAACTCAATAAAAAAAAAATTCAGCTCACCTGCTTTAAAGATCCACTCCAGATAGCCGTTAAGCTCACGTTCAATTTGTTGCTGGCGTCTGAGTTTGAGGAATGCCCGTCGGTTCTCCACCCTCTCACGTTCTTTGGCAAACTCCCTGCAAAGCAAGGCACAAGTTTTCTGAGACTGAATATGAAAAGGATTCTGATTTCATTTACAGTATAAGAAGAATATTGTATACAAAAACTGACATTTCTAAAAAAGTGTGTGGTACCGTGTGCTCCATTTGAATGGCACCCCAACGCTCCTCCTAAAGGCTGTGTGTCACAATGCAGTGCATGCACTATTTTTTTCCACCGCACAGTTAGGGTCTGTTCAATTAAATGGTGGTAGGCGCGTTGTGCCCAAAATGCACTAATACCGTACGATTAGCGCAATGCATCTGTGAACCGGCCCTTAGGCTTTGAACACCTTTTGTTTTGAGGCATTTGGAATGTATTTTGCTCAATTAAACTGAAAGTTCAATTGGGTTTTAAAGAGGCAGTACACTACAGAGATGTTTGTATAGGTTCAGATGTGCTGAAACTACAAATCCCATAAGGCATTGCAAGCCATAGGCATGACTCCCAGAGGCAGAAGCGTGATGGGATTTGTAGTTTCGGCACAGCTGGGAGCCAAAGTTGCCTACCCCTGGTATAGGTATTATAAGCATAACGTACGGTCATTTGATGCCCCCTAACACAAAACTGTAAAATACAAGAAAAGGGGAAGAAAAAAGTCCCAAGGAAAGAGCATAAAATATTTTTGTACATTTATTTTTGGGGTTTATTTGGTATTTTTATTAAATTACAGCATGTTTGATCATGATCACACTTGATGTAATTTTAAAAAAAAGTCAAAAAAATAAATACCACAAAAAATGGGAGATCATTTTTGTTCTTTTTACTTTTACTTTACTTTGTTTTTTGGTATACTTTGGTGAAGCAGAGCAAAAATATCAACATTTGCACTTTTAACATTAAGCATGTTCTTGTGTTACTGTTCTACTGACAAAATACAGAATTTTATCAATGGAACATTTTTACCTATGGTTTGTGTATATACACACTGGGCCACAGAATAGACCTTGGGAAGGTAAAGGGAGGACATGATGATGACCCATTATGCAGTCATTATACTCTATGTAGATCTAATGAACAGTGCCTGTTATAAACAAAGTTATTAGTGGTGGAGAAGCGGGCAGGAAGTGAGAAGCCTTTATCAGCTTGGCAAAGCCTTCTTGCAGATTAATGGAGAAGATAATGGTGGTGTGAACATTGCCTATTGTCTTATGGGGATATGGTGTGCTAAATAATAAGCCCAGCACACAGGGTCTTTTTAAAGCTTCATACAGGTTTAAATTACTCACTTTTTCTCATTTCGTCTTGCAGTGCCACAAGGCAAAAATAGAGGCCAGTTTTGGCAAAACTACTTTAAACATGAAACCGATAATTTCACGGTGTAATCAAGTTTAATTACATTTTACACTAAAACCCATTATAAAGAATGTGACAGGAGGATTCGTAGCAGACAATGGTGGGTAAACACACACAACTCCCAGATGGGCAGGAACAGCAGAGGCAGAAAGAATGTGTCTGTTGCTTTCTGGGTGACTACCTTGGCAGATGGGTGTCAAAGCACACCCCAAACACTGTCACAAGTTAAGGAAACAAACTGGCAGCACAACATAGAATCCCTTGTAGGTAAAACTTTATTGTTCCAGACAAATGACATAAAGCCCCACCTGGGAACTCCTTCCCTGACACATTTCACCTAACATTGGTAAGGGAGATCTTGTTGGTGAAGTATTCAAGACATATAAGAAACCAGGGGCCGACTCAGAGCACTTATATCTAAAATATACCTTTTTTGGTGGGCTGGCCCTTTAACATAAACAATCTTTTTAAATACGTGTTTGAAAAACATGTTTCTATATATAATATGTGAATAAATATATAATCTGTGAATACATATGTGGACAGCCATGTTTTGGACAAAACAGACCCTTTCAGGTAGCTGCTAATTCATGTCTATGGGTATTCCTCTCCCCAATGCAATTCTACCAGTGTGCTCAGATTAGGAACTGTAAACTGCCTAGAAAGCTTATTGAATTTATCTCAGCAGTTGTTCAGCAGGGAAGTTACCTCACTGCCTAAACTATAGACAGCCAATAGAAGGCATATCCCCCCAAAAATATAAAAGGCAAACACATAATCCATGATAAGCTTGCAAAATGTGGAATACTCATTACAACTTCTTTTAGGTAAGGGTCACAATAACCTGAAATTTTGATATACACCACAGTGCCCTTTTCAGTTGATGCCATTACCATATATGAGTAATAAACTTCAAAAACACTAAAGATTCCTTTCAAAATGAATAATGGAGAACCAAGGGCCCTATAATGGATCACTATTGGGCCCGTTTGCATCTCGTTACACCTATGGACCAGGCTTCAAAGTGAGTGAACGAGGTCAGTAAGTTGACAGATTGATTTTAATAGCCTGATAAAAAATAATTGCGAGCCTTAAAGGAAATGAAAGCGGACTAAAATAAAGGAGGAAATAATAGGAGAAGCTGTGCAGGGAGACAAAGATGAAAGCGGAACAGAGACCGTGGGACGCGTGTCATCCTCTGCTCTCTATGATGAATAATTTAGAGTCACAGCTCAGCCTAGCGGTGTGATCCTGTGCTATGATGTCTACCCCCTGTGGGGCTCAGTGATAGGTCACTCCGAGAGTCGCCAGCAAACAAGACTTACTGGTGGGGGGGGGGCTGTGACAACAATGGCGACAAACAAAGACAATTCTCTCTCATCCTCCTCAGAGAGGGTGTCTGAGTTCCCGAAGGAGAGGTAGAAAAAAGAGAAACATCATCTAAATGCCTGATATAGACTGTAGGATGTCTCAAGAAGAACTGGTGAGAGAATTCTTGGTCCCTGTGCGGCCTTAGTGCTTTTCTTCACAGTAAACGTGTAGTGGAAGTCGCTTTTCCTTATCTTTGGAGAGACGGGATGATAATTATCAGAGGCCCTTGGCATCTGTATACCCTACAATGAAAGCTTGAGTTCTGTTACATGGCTTTCGGCCACGTACGATCACACAGCAAAAAAAATTACCCCAGATGTTGTGCTATGGCTGCACTGAAGATCTGCCACAAACAGGCAAATGTCGTAGCTAAATGTAAAGCCTGCTGCTCCTTCCAGTGAAAACCAACTGATGCCCCTTTTTACTTTAAATATTTAACACATTTTAGCATGTCTCCTAGGGCGGTAGGAGACATGCACATTTAGCCCACCTCACCAAAATCTGTCTGGTTGTAGCATTTGGCAGTACATAGGTCCTAGGCCACAGAAGCCACAGTTTCCATACACTAAACTGATTATGCCTAACCAGCCTGAAACATATGTATGAAGTTTTGAATAAATGTTTCTATACATTAGGCTGTATTTGTACTGTAAACCAGCAGTTCTGTATGTATAGCCAACATCAGGGACAAATAAGGATGAAAGGGTGGAGGGCCTTTTGGTTTCTTTCAGCCCACCTGATAACTCTCTGTCTGTGAATTCTATTTCATAATCCCAGGTTACTACGGTACTGTGAAGTCACATATTTATACTGCTGGAGGATAAAACTGCTGAACCATCACATTAGCTCTCATAATCCCCTGTAACTAGGATGATGGAGCTGATGCACGTGTACCATACATGACTCCTGACCATACACATGTTTTAGGTGTTTCAGTTACCACCTACCAACACTGAACTGAAGATTGACTGAACGGGTCAAACTGACCTTCCACCAACAACCCCACCTAAACCCACCCAAAAAAAAAAAATTCAGTTTTCAATAGAGCGGGGAAGATTTCTATTTCTGTCTGTAACCTCATTGGGGGGATTTTCTCTCAGTTCCTGTCTCTGTGACACCCGTACTAAATACAGGGTGAGGAAAGGAGGGGACAGCTCGCAATAAAAACAAGTTCTATCCTGCCCTCACTCCACAACAAAAGTGTTTTTGTCTGTGCCTATCATTGAAGATATTAGGCTCTAACCTTTCAATCTGCTATCCAAATTGAAATAAAACCCTTTGGCTTGAGTTGGGCTTTACATTTTATTTGTAAGGGATGATGACAGGTGGTCAGTTGTATTTGTAATTGAAAGGTTTATTTCAAAGTGGTGGTAATCCCCAAAATAATTGCCCCGTATATGGCCAGTGAGTATAAAACCAGCCAGCCCATCACTGTAAGTAGAGCACACAGCTATCCCTTGTGCACAGAGGATAAAGAAAAACAATGTGTCACTTGATAACACTCACCCGGACAGGACACCCAGAACCAGATTCAGCATGAAGAAGGAGCCAACAATGATGAGAGGGATGAAGTAGAGCCAATTCCACATTGCGCCGACTGCATCGTTGGTCTGCAACAAGCACAAAATACAAGCTCAAACATTTTAAAAAAACTTTAGATCACCTATGTATTTCTTTCAAAGTCACAAAATCACATGACCATTTAGCTGGTGCAATGACCTGAAATGTCTTTATGCTGAGTTGCCACTTGGCATCTAAGAGGTAAAACCAAGCTTGTGGTAGGAGTGGCTGCTGTGTAAAGTGCTGGGAAGGACAGTGAGGTACTTAGGGGGCTTTACAAGAGGTAGAGAGTACAAGGTGGGTGTCTCCATCATGGGTATGTTCAATGCTAAAAGAACAGCCAGGAGGTGGACATGGCACAGAGAATATAGAACTTGGATCAAAAAATGGTGTCACCCTCCTTATGTTGGTATATAACACATCAAGGTTGGGGGATTACAAAAGGATTTGTATTGCTTTAAAAATCTTTGGCAGGTTTACAGGGCCGGTATATGACTGCAGTTCTGACCCGGTCATCCAGTACCGCTCCTACTGGGCCTAAGCCCTAAAGGCTTATAGGTTTCTTACACAAGCCTTGATTACATCGGCACAAAGAATTCAATATTATTTCTAGCTATACAAGTGAAAAGCCAAATCCTCTCCTCCCCCCATGCTGATTCATATTTAATCGTTCCCTCCAGACATTTCCTCCAGATAACAGGAAATGACTGCGATATTGCTGGCTTGGAAGCCAATCCCAGGAGGCCTAGTATTGGTATATGGAGGGGGTGCTGATTACACCCTGGAAAGGGATTTAACATACACAAACAGAAAAAATGCCCTTCTTAGACCCAGTAAGCAGGATTGCATGAATCATTCCTGGGCTACTTTAAACTGGCTTTTTTTTATCTTTCCAAAGCTACAAATAAAATACAGGTGAAACTCGAATAATTAGAATATCATTCAAAGTTCATTTATTTCACTAATGCAACTTAAAAGGTGAAACTAATATATGAGATAGACTCATTACATGCAAAGCAAGATAGTTCAAGCCATGATTTGTCATAATTGTGATGATTATGGCTTACAGCTCATGAAAACCCCAAGAACCCCAAATCCACAACCTCAAAAAAGTAGATGATTACATGCAATCAATAAAACAAGGATTGTACATAGAACAATATCGGACCTCTGAAAAGTACAAGCATGCATGTGTACTCAGTACTTGGTTTGGGCCCCTTTTGCAGAACTTACTGCAATTACTTTTGCACGATATTCTAATTATTCGAGTTTCACCTGTACATTTCACCTTAAAGAGAACCAATGGCAACTGGGCTACTGAAAGAATTTTAATATTTCATTATATAATTAATTTTAATATACCCTGAACTCCAGACAGATAGATATAAAAAACACAAATTAACACAGCTCTGTATTCATTTACTCTGGATTTACACTCTTCTGTGTGCATGTTGTAGCGCACATGTGTAAGTGTGAAGGGGCCCATATAGTTTCCTTTTCCTTTTCACACTAAACTGCATCACATAGATGTGAACCAGCCACATAGGAAATAATGGGATTTCTACTTGCAATGCATCTTCATGCAGCAAAATGCATGAGTTTTGCTGCATGAAAACATTATTAAATTTAATTAATCTTAATTAATTTAGTAATTCATTTTAACTTCACTGTCCAGTCACTGGGTAGGGGTGGGGAGAAGACCTGTAAATGTTACATACCTGCTGCAAAAAAAAATCAGGTCTCTTTCCCTCCTGCACAGGACTGTGTTGTGTGGTAAATCTGTGCAAAGCTCAGGACTGAATGGCCAGGAATGCAAATCCTTTGACAGGTTAAACTGCTCTTTTATATGTATTTCCTCTGTGTATTAGCTGTTTGCCTGCAGTTTAGCTTTAAATTCCTTATGAAAGATGTATATTAGCCCTCTTATGTAGATTGAATTACTTTGTCTAAGCCTGACATGTTTGTTTGGGTGTCAGGAATCAAAGGTCAACCGAGGTCTGACAGTTATCCTGTCAACTGCCGAAGCTCACACAACAGAGTTGAGTCAATCTTTATGTGGAACACCCAATCATACGCATAGGAATTTACAAAAACAGGTATTGCACCCAACTGAATAATTGAACACAGATTCACTGAGGTAGAAGAAAAAGGTTTTCAGAAACCAGAGCCCCCCCATACGGAGAACTGTAAACAACTGAGGGGCTGAGAGACAGTGTGATATAGGGAAGCAACTCTCAGGCTTCAGATGACTTCTCACCCCTCACACTCACACTATAGTGTCTGACAGGGCCTGTTTACAATCATGAGGTTTGCTGTTTTATGATGCATTTATTATATGCTATCACTTCCAAAAGGCCAGTTCACATTTCTGGACTGTGGTGAGGTACAGTACAAATGTGAATTAGCACCAATAAAAACAATAGTGAAAAATCCATATATCTACATTGATAATACATGTCGCTGCTTGTGCATAGGTGGGAACGTAGCCAACCAGCGCAGAGTAATGCTTCCATAACATATCACATGTGGGTTCTTCAGTGCAATTATTATGGTGGATCTGTAACAATACTGAGCTGTGTATTTTGGACCTGTAAACTAACAAACACAGTTGTACAAGCAGTGTGGAGCACTCCATGGCTCTCAGGGTGTGCTTCCAACAGACTCCCTTCTGCCTCCCATCTCCCTCTTCCTACTAATGTGATTTTACATCCGCCTCGCCAGCGAAACACATTAATTATTAACCCTTTCATTGTGTGGCACGCTGCATCCTGCTTGCATCGCTCACTTTAGCTAGTAGTAGTTAATCACATTCAACTGGACTTGTTCTGTAATGTTGGAAACGTTTTGTAGTTTTTCCAAGCTACTTCTTCTGTTCCATTGAGCATCAGGATGATACCCCAGCATTTATATCCATACAGGTAGCACAGACACCTTAATCAAATCACCATGGAATGTGTAGATGTTGATTGTCCCTGAATAGGATGGGAATTAACACCTACAGTCATGTGAAAAAGAAATTACACCCTCTTTGAATTCTATGGTTTTAGGTATCAGGACATAATAAAAAATCATATGGTCCTTAGCAGGTCTTAGCAGATGAACAACAACACTTGATATATTACACAGGGGTCTATTCACAAAGCTGCCAAGGGCAGCCGAGTGAATGACCAATCAGAAGTGAAGTGAGCCGAACACTGTTCACTTCAGGCTGGTACGGCTGATTTCAGCCGTACATCGGCTGAAATCAGCCGTACATCGGCTTGCTTCGTGTGGCTTCGGATCAGCCGAACATGCTCAGCATGTTCGGCTGACCCGAAGTGCAGAAGGAGTTCGACTCAGTCGATCCAACATCTGGATCGGCTGAGCCGAACCTCCGGCAGGCTTCACACTGCTGTTCGGGCTATTCTGAAAGATCCCGAATAGCAGTGAGGGAATAGCCGAATGCCGCCTGTGAATAGCCCGTACAGCACCCCCTCGGTTCTCCTGAACCGAAGGGGTCCTGGGGCCGAAGCTAGCCGAAGGATCGGCCGAAGCTACGGCCAGATCCTTCGGCAGCTTTGTGAATAGACCCCACAGTGTCATTATTTCTTTTACAAACAAAGCCAAAATGGAGAAGCCATGTGTGAAAAGGTAAGTACACCTTATGATTCAATAGCTTGTAGAACCACCTTTAGCAGCAATAACTTAAAGTAATCATTTTCTGCATGACTTTATCAGTCTCCTACATCGTTGTGGAAGAATTTTGGCCCACTCTTCTTTACAATGCTACTTCAGTTCATTGAGGCATTTGTTTATGCACAGCTTTCTTAAGGTCCCGCCACAGGATTTGAGCTCTGGACTTTGACTGGGCCATTGCAACACCTTGATTCTTTTCGTTTTTGGCCATTCGGTTGTAGAATTCCTGTGTGCTTCGAATCATTGTCCTGTTGCATGACCCATTTTCGGCCAAGCTTTAGCTGTTGGACAGATGGCTTGACATTTGACTCTAGAATACTTTGATATACAGAGGAGTTCATGGTCAACTCAATGACTGCAAGGTGTCCAGGTCCTGTGACTGCAAAACAAGCCCAAATCATCACCCCTCCACCACCATCCTTGACAGTTGGTATGAGGTGTTTGTGCTGATATGCTGTGTTTGGTTTTCGTCAAACAGGGCGCTGTGCATTATGGCCAAACATCTCCACTTTAGTCTCATCTGTCCAAAGGACATTGTTCCAGGACTTGTGGTTTGTTCAGATGCAACTTTGGAAACTTAAGCTGTGCTCCCATGTTCTTTTTAGAGAGACAAGGCTTTCTCCTGGCAACCCTTTCAAACAAGCCATACTTGTTCTAATCGTACTGCCATAAATGTTAACATTTAACATGCTACTTGAGGCCTGTAGAGTCTGAGATGGAACTCTTTGTTTCTTTGTAATTTCTCTGAGCATTGCACAGTCTGACCTTGGGGTGCATTTGCTGGGATGCCCACCCCTGGGAAGATTAGCAACTGTTTTGAATGTTTTCCACTTGTGAATGGTCTTCTTCACTGTAGAATGATGGACTTTTAATAACTTTTCCCAGATTGATGGGTAGCAACAATTGCTTCTATAAGATCAGTGCTAATGTCTTGCCTCCTTGGCATTGTGTTAACACACCCCTGAATGCTCTAGACCAGCAAACTGGTAAAACGGCGGCTTTTATAGAGGTGGTCAAACTTGCTGATGATCAGTAAATCAAGGCCATTTGTTTAGCAGCACCTGGCTGCTATTTAGCCTCTTAGCTCCTATTGAAGCAGTGAGGGTGTACTTAGTTTTTCACACATAACTTCTTCATTTTGGCTTTACGATCATATATGATAATATGTCATGTGTTGTTCATCTGAGGTTTTTATTATGATGATTTTTATTATGTCCTGATAGTGAAAATCATAGAATTCAAAGAGGGTGTACTTTCTTTTTCATACAACTGCATGTAGACTTCATGACAACAAGGATGCTATATGTAACTAGAACACAACTTTGACACTGAAAGTTGTGCAACCACTCTGCTCTAGTTACATAACCCCATCCTT